TTCAGTATAAAACACTCCTTGACATCAGAATACCATCAATCACTCACCTCTCACTGCGTCTTGCACGCCACTGATAACCAAACACTATCAACTCCCTACAAGTAATCCACCAGTACTTCCCTTCCACCTCTGGAAGTTCACTACCCTAATATCTTTAGGTTCTTCCGGGCTTCACTACCAGGATCCTCTGCAGCTCCTCCAGGCTGCTATCATGAAGTTTCCTTGAGCAACTACGGTGCTTCACCCTTCTGCTAGGGTCCTCCACAGCTCTCCTGGCTGCTACACCATGAAGTTCTCTCGAGCAACTATGGTGCTTCACCACCTCTACAGAAGCACGTGACACTCCTCTTCACTGCTGCTTCTCCTCACAGCTCGAGGTCCTCTGCTCCACTACCTTGGAGTCTCATCAGCTACTTCATCTGCTGGCTTCGAAGTTCTCAGCAACTTCTTCCCCAAAGAACAAACCTGCAACCCATCGACACTCCAATAAAATTGTTTCCCCTTTAACACATAAACAAAAATAATCACACAATATGTTTGTTTCCAACCTCTATCTGTCCTCTATATACAGTGAGAGTGGACTCCCCCGTTTTGGGCGGTCCATACTCCACCTCGCCTGGCGGCGGTCCTCACTCGCTGGGAGGGTCTTCCTCCGTCAGGAGCCAGGCTCCCTCAGTCGCCCGCCAGCGCTCAGAGGGGATGGACGTCGCTCCGTGTTCCTCCCTCTCCACTCTCTTATTTCAGGCCTTCTGCCTTATTAAAACATGTCTAACTTATAAATAAACATCGCTACTGTCGCTGGGCACACGACCAACTACAAGCAATCACTATGAACTGGCGTATATCGTGCTTACCACAGATCGACTGGTCGAGGGCGCTTCTTCCTCTGACGAGGCTTGGTCTGGGCGCTCCACTGCCCACAATAATGCCTCCGGGCGGCCTAATATTCACTAATTATCGCCCACGACTTGAGACCACACGTCCCCAGCTCGATTCCACAGCTGGCACGTCTGCACACTTCTCTTCTCTTAGAGATATATCACTAGGGGTTCCCTTCTGACGGGAGCTCAAACGGAGCGCGGCTTCCCCCTGCGATGTCTGGCACTCAAGTGAGGTCAAGGTCCTCCGGAAGCGAGCCTCACGCCTCCAGCAAAATGTCCACATCTCCTCGCCAGTCATTTATCTGTTTTCTTCTTCATTGCCCATAATCTCAAACTGTTACACATATCCAAGCAACTATTTTACATATGCGTTATCACCTCAATATATGCTAGACCTTCTAATCAGGTCAGGCTTGATGAATAACTCTCAAGGAGGGAGACTCGTTTCTCCTGTAGGCTGAGATCATAACAGGCACCAGCAGTACTTAGCTATGTGGCCACTGCCACAGCACTTGTAACACTCCACAGGGTCTGGCTCCCACGCCCTGAACGTGCTGGGGCGAGTATACAACCCACCAAACCAATACTTGTCAGGTGGCATTTCAGTCTTCTTCCAGACTATGACTATTTGATCAATAGGCTTTCCATTCTTGTTCAATCTTCTTGCTTTGTGTACCCTCGTCCAGTTCTTAGGCCCAGTCCAGTGGATACCCGTGACTGTATCTGTAGGTATTCATCCATCTTGTTTCTTGATAGATTATCTAGAAGAGAGAGCTTTACATCACCTATTTTCCCTTGTAGAAGAGCATCCACAACATGCCGTTTCTCTCTTGAAACGTACACATATGGGGAGTTGACATGTGGACATGGCACGTCTGCATGGGTACCAGGTGGGTACACCTCGCTCAGTTTCTTGCTTCACACAATCCTGTCCGCCACACTCGTGCCTTTAGGGATGGTCAGACGTGTGTACTCGCTCCTTGGTGCTATTGGAGGTTGTCCACCTTGTTGCTCACCAGGCTTTTATTTCCCTTGTTTCCTTCTCTGGTTTTTACGTAACACCTCCACAAACCCATCACTGGGTGGTGGGGTGAGTGTCACTGGTCATGGTGGGGGAGAGCCCTGATGGTCCGGCAGCTGCATCTTCCATATTTGTTCTTCAGGCGACGTTAATTGAAGTAATTTTGCCCGATACCTGGCTATAATAATTGATAATCATTTGATGATGATTAGCACTATAAATAGCAGAGCAGGCAGCATGCCTTTACCAGTCATCAGCGCCAACAGTCATAAACCTGATCTTAGGGGTAGAGTGCTCTCAGTGGGTCCCAGTAGGACTAACAGCCGAGGTTTAAGTATGCCATAGGAGAATGGTCCTTACAGCACAGTACAATAGGGCCTGGACTGCCACCCTAGGTGACCACCTGTCTCTTGGGTAAACAGGTGGTGGGGTGGGGCTGTGGTTTGTGCTGGCCTCCACCCCTCACATACACACACACTGGTGCAGATGTGGGCTTGGGTGCCACAGATTTGAGTCAATTGTACAACTGTTCTGTGTTACAAATAAGGTGAGGTTCCTGAAAGGCCAAAATGTATATATTGTGCTCACTCTACTGTTCCTACCTATAGGCTCAGAGCTGCCTAGGAATGTTGGCTCTGAGACTAACTAATCCTATTTAAGAGTTTTGCCACCCTCACACACAAGCTCCACATTTCTCTAATAAATCCTATTAAGGCACTGCCGGCAAGGTTCACTTTGCTTGTTATTGTGTGTGAGGGACGCTAAGGCGGGGCACAGTGAGTGAGCATTATTGATAAGAGATCATATTCAATGTCTGAGGGTGCTATGGAGAGGAGTGCCTGACCCCTCACGTCTGCTCTGCCCAGAGGCTGGGAACAGACTGTGCCACAATAGATTGTGGTCCTTATGGCTTCCTGTCCCTGTCAAGGCTATTAGAGAGGGTGGCCCTCAGGTCTCAGGTCTTCCTGTCCCCATCAAAGTCACTAGAGATGGTGGCCTACAGGTAAATTCAGGTATATTCCAGTTTACAGCCTTAAGGTTATCTTGAGATGATTTTGGGGCTTAATGTCCCTGCGGACTGGTCCTCGACCAGGCCTCCTTTTTGTTACACACCCCCAGGAACCAGCCTGTGGCAGCTTTCTCAACTCCCGGGTTCCTATTTACTACTAGGTAACAGGGGCATCAAGGTGAAAAAAACTCTGCCCATTTGTTTCTGCCTCCACCTGGGATCGAACCCAGAACCTCAAGACTACGAATCTGAAGCGCTGTCCACTCAGCTGCGAGGGCCCCCTCTGAAGGTAGAGGATGTCTTGCCCCGTGTATGGCACTGTTTACTAGACTCGAGATCTCTTCTAGAGGAACTAACGGATCTGCCAAACATGTGCTGTGCAGCCAGTCATTTCAATTCAATGAGAATCTGCTAATAGAAAACAGAATATTATGTCAATTCTGTGAGCCACTATGATTTTTATTGTATCATTTCTGGGGTAGAGCCCCTTGTGTCTTCCAGAAGCTACAATGCTGATATAGTGGCAAACTACTAGGTGCCATCAGTCATGGCATTCTTTTTAGGCCTACTGGGGGACCATGAGTCAGGACGTGGCCTGCTCTAAATAGATACGTAGAGCAGTGGCTCGATGATAAAATTGTCTGTGAATTTTAATCATGACTGCCACAAACAGGGAAGCGCCCAGCGAAAAGTCAGCGGAACAGAACAGATCATTGCTGATTATAAGAAATATTGATACCTCATAATCACTAAAAGCACTTGCCCAACAGTGTCAATGAATGATTGAAAATTCATGAAACTAGTGCTAGCACCCACTTTCTGAGTGCTAGCTCAGAAAGTTGTTACATCTTATTTAAATGTTGAAGCAACATCGTAGTTTCGTCGTGCGGTGGGTGTCACATCTTTACTTACTGTCTACTTATATATACAGTATCTCAAAAAGAAGATGGCTCATTAATGAAGTGAAAAATATAATGAATACATACAAAATTCCAGCCATTACACCATTCATGAAGTGAAAATGATGATGTTTAGGACTTTCCTGGACACCTATCCAGTCAGGATATTTCAAGAGTGGGAGGAGGAGTCACCTCCATCTTCACCTTCAGGAAAAGGCTTAGATGGATTACGAGAAGTTTCAAATCCTGGGATCCCATCACGATGGTTGTACTATTTAAATCACTGGTGCTGTTCCGTCTTGAGTACTGCTCAATACTCACTTTTCCCTTCAGAGCAGGAGAGAGATTGCTGAAATAGAGGGAATACAGAGAACATACACAGCATACATAGACACGATAAAGCACCTAAACTATTGGGATCGTCTCAAAGCTCTTTTATACTCCCTAGAAAGCAGTTGAGAGTGGCATCAAATAATAGACACGTGGAGAATACTGAAAGGCCAGGTCTCAAATCTACACAGTAAAATAACAACATACTGTACTGGAGTGAACAATATGGAAGGAAATGCAGAATAGAACCAGTGAAGTGCAAGGGTGCCATAGGCACAATCAGGTAACACTATAAACATCAGAGGTCCACGGTTGTTCATCATCCTCCCAGCGAGCATAAAAAATGTTGCCTGAACAAACGTGAACATCTTCAAGAGAAAACTGAATAGTTTTCTTAAAAAGTGCCGGACCAGCTGGGCTGTGGTGGATATGTGCCTGCATGCCGCTCCAAGCAACAGCCTAATGGACCAAGCTGTCAGAAGTCAGGGCTTGGGGAGTAGAAAAACTCCCAGAACCCCATCAAGGTACACTCCAGGTACCTCACCTCCCTTACAGTATACCGACTCTCCCTCTTTCTCTCGGCATTGTCATGACTTGTAAAGGTTCCAGGACAGCTCTAGGTACAATCCAAAATGGACCAAAATGTCGTCACCTCTACCTTGTGTGGCATGGGTTATATGTGACCTTAATAAATAAATACTGTATAGATAGCCTGTGCATGCATGGTTACTAGATTTGGATTCCTTTATAAATATATAATTTCTGTACATTATAATGTTTGAATATGCAGATGATCAATCACAATAACATGGCTGAAGAATATATTTGAATATACTTGCTCATCCAGAGACGCATTTCAGGTTACAAAAACGCGACCCAATGATCGAGATGCCAAAATCAAGTTCAGTGAATGTCAGAAAGTGGTCAAGATGATAATGTTCCAGAAGGCGATAGCCGTAGACGACGATAACAAATCTGTCGCACAATCTATAGACTTGGAATCTATGGGTAGGTGTTTTGGGCATTTATTGTGGCATGGTCTCTTCTAATTATGTAATTATGGATGCTACACATAACAAAATCACACTAACCTGATACATGTATGAGAAAATCCTTAGAGCAGTGTGTGTGGAATTGAGTGTGAGCTCAATTCAGCAGTGCAATGTGAGCTCATGTGCTAGGTCACCTCCCCATATGCAAGCATTATCCCCCCTAGACATGCTCACGTTTGTAATGGTTTTGTTTAGGGGCTACACAAGAACCGAGTTCAATTCCTCAAACACCATTTCAAGAGTTTTCCTTCCCCCCCCCCCCCCCCTTGTAAATACAAATTAGCTAAGGATTGGAAATACCATTCACTTATACAGATGGTGAAACAATAATGTGGCTGAAGACATGATATTATACACAAATCAAGCCTGGCCTCGGGGAGTAGAACATCTCCCAGAACCCCATCAAGTAGGTTTCAAGCAGATATCCAAACTACTCATCAGAAGGTGAAGAAATGATGACTTTTCTGTGGGAGCCCCTACGGCTCCCTGGAGCTTATTGGGCTAATGTATGTTATATTAGACCGGGACATTAGCTAAGGAGTTCAGACCTACCCGGGACCAGCGCCAGAACCTGGCCCCTTGGGAGATGTTTCAGGGAGCAATGGCCCTGGAAAACCCCCTTGTGGTTGGGGTTTTCCTTATCTGCCATCGACTGGGGTCAGGCACCCAGAAAGGTAGGCATAACAAAACAAACCCCACATGGTAAAAAACTAAACAAAAAACCGAACAGAGAGGTAGAAACTCCCTTCAATCCCAAGGAAACAAGCAAACATCACACATCACACTTTACTGCCGCGCCGATCGTCTGTGCAGCCCTCCCCGTCCCAAGAGGGGGAGGGGGGAGCCCCGGACCTACCGCGCCGGCTGCCAAGCTTCAGTTCGAAAGCTAATGTTAACCGGGATAGACGCTTCTCTGGCCTCAGTTTCCTAGGCGGTGTTTGCCTTGTGTGGCATTCACTGCCGTGTGTTGTGTTGTGCGGTGGCCAGGTGTTCCTCATCAGTGTCGGGGCTGCATGTGCTTAGGGGCTTCCTCCCTAAGCGCCCTGTGAGTACTGCCCCTGCGTGACAGGGTTATCTTCCCTGGGGCATTCAGGAACCATTCCTGTAGAGGTTTTTGCTGCTCGGCCTTTGCTTCGCCCTTGGAGCCAGCTGGGGCTTGGGGCCCTTGTTTGGCCTTGGGTAGGGACTGGTGTTGTGCTGGTTAGGGCATTAAGGTGTTGCGTGGCCTGCCACCTAAGCGGCGGCCGGTTCCTGTTGCCTCTGGAGACAGTGTACTTTTGCGGGTTTTTCTTTTGTTTTTATATTCATTTGCCTATTGGGGGTCTGCCTAGTGTGGCTTTAGTTTCACTGGTAGTGTTTGGTGGCCCTCTGCTAGGCCCCCCATGATTGTACACGTTGCAGGGGTTTTCAGTGCTATCCTCTACCCTCTTGTTATTTTTGGGTTTCTTAACCGGTTAGCAACACCTTACCGCTTCCTGTAGCATTCAGCCTACGGGCCCTGGAAACCCCTGTCTGGGCTCGGTGGACCTTTGAATGTGTCTTCCGGGTTCCAACCCGTTTTGTACGGGATCGTTGGTTGCTGTGCCCTTGTCTCCGGGTGACAGTCGCCCCTTTTACCTCCGTCATGCTGCCAGTTGGGTCACTGACACCTTGACCCGGAGTCTTGCGAGAGAGATTCTCTGCTTGTTCTCCAGTACTCTCCTAATGTTATTACTGTTCAGAGTACAGGCGGCATCCGTGTTGCAAGCTAGGTTAGGTTGCTGCAACACGCTAGGTTGGTTTCCCACTCGGATGACCCGAGGCCGCCCCGTTTTGGTTAGGTGCTGTTCGCCCCTTTCCCTCCCTGTTCCCGGCTCCGGACTGTCTGTGGGTTTCGGGGTCGGGCGGGGTTTAGTTGGGGCCGAGACTCGGGCGGTTTTCGGGGGCTGCCCCGTTCGGGTTGGGGGACAGAGGTTATCGAGCCTGTTCCTCCTGCCAAGGCTTCTGGGTCTTACCAGCGGCCGTTTCTTGCTGCCTTTCCCATGGACTCTTCCTTTTCTTTAAGGGCGGAGGGCTTGAAGGACGTCTCTGCCCCAGGGCTTCTCTTGCTGGTTCCCGGGGCTGTGGGGGATGCCTGCTAGCAGTTCTGGGGCGGTTTGCTCCTGCCTGGGTTATCTGCTTTTGGGCGGAGTTTTTCACCCATCCAGTCTGCTTGCTTCCCACTTTTGTTGGCGTGTTTTCATATCTTTGGCGTCAGCCACAGCCCACTGTTCTGGTGGCCATTTTCTTCTGCCGGTTTCGCGGCCTGGCCACCAGGGCAGTGTTGCGGTTTGTTTACATGCGCCTGGGTGTGCGAGCGAGCGTCTTGGGTTAATTTTAAACCCTTTTTCAGGGGTTTTATTCTCCTGTTCTTGTTCTTTGCTTTTCTGATGTTTTCTGCCCGTTTCCTGTTCCTCTGGGAACGTTTTAGGGTTGATTTTATACCGGGTTTTCCATGTTGTCTGTTTTGGATCTGGGCCTTTGGGTTTGGGCTCTGTCCCTGGCTGTTATGCTTGCTCCCACACCTTGTCCCTCGGTTTTCGAACTGTTTTGACCGTTTCCCTGGGGGTTCTGTCTGGGGGCTGTGCTTTGCCTTTCTGTGGTGTATCTTCGCCGGCAAATGTGGTGGTTTGGGCTCCCCCTGGTTCGATTCCGGGCTCCTTTGGGTTTTTTGGTTTCGTTCCGGAGGTTTCTTCCTCTTGGGGCCCCTTTGTGGGTTCAGGGGGCTTTGTTTCCTCGTGTGTGACCTAGTTCTGCTTTCTGGAGTTCCGGGGTCTTCCTGGCTTGCAGACTGATCTTTTGGGTCTTGGCACGTGTTGTGGTCGTGCTGGGACTTTGAGGTTTTGTTGTTGAGGTGGGCCTTTTGATGCAGTTTTGTGCCTTCTTTGCCTGGCCGGTGTGGTGCTCTCTGCCCACTGGTCGGCGACTGGTACTTTTCTTTTCACATGTGTGTAATTACCTAAGTAATTACCTAAGTGTAGTTACAGGATGAGAGCTACGCTCGTGGTGTCCCGTTGAGCGTAGCTCTCGTCCTGTAACTACACTTAGGTAATTACGTAGGTAATTACACACACGTGAAAAGAAAATTACAAGCCGCCGACCAGTGGGCAGAGAGCACCACGCCGGCCAGGCAAAGAAGGCACAAAACTGCATTAAAAGGCCCACCTCGACAACAAAACCTCAAAGTCCCAGCATGACCACAACACGTGCCAAGACCCAAAAGATCAGTCTGCAAGCCAGGAAGACCTGGCTTGTGTGTGTGTGTGTGTGTACACGTGTGCATGTGTACACTGTGTGTGTGCACATGTGTATGTGCATACACCGTGTGTGTAACATACCTTGTGTGTATTTGTATATGTATGTGTATATACATCTGTATACATGTGTATATGTGTATGTGTATTTTTTTTTCTTTCGGAAGGGGCTCTGTTCCCTTCTCTGTTGACGGGGCGCTGGGGGAGCAGCCTGCTCTGTTGACTCTCGCATGGTCTCACAGTTAGTGGGCACTTTTGGTTTTCTTCCGGCCTCTGGTGGCTGCGGTGAATGGCTTCTCCCCCTTTGGGGGGTTCAGGGCTGGTGGGATGGGCTTCTTCCCCTGCGCTTCGTCATGTCATCTTAGTGGGTGCGTTGGACGTGGTCGATCCGCCCCATCCTTCTGGGGTTCCCGTTTGCTCTTTACAGACATGGGCCTGTCGAATCTGTGGTTCTTCTGGACTTCTTCAGTCTGCGCCCTGGATTCTATGCCCTCATCGGAGGACTGTTGTCTCCTGTCCGGCTTCTGTTGGGCCGGGTGCCTGGATGGTGGCCCTGGACCTTCAGGTCAGTTCTTGGCACGTTCCTCTCCAGTTTTCCGGTACTGGCTCAGTTGGTGGTGGGGCTTCAGGCTTGCTGCTTTTGTTGCCTTCCCTATTTTGTAATTGGCACTTGGTGTATTTTACATCTTTACCAGATCTTGGTGCCCCGACTGAGTCTGTTTGGGATTCGGTGTCTGGCCTACCTCGACGACTGGCTGGTGTGGGCTCCCAGTCGGTCGTCTTGTCTGCTCGCCAGGGGTGTGGTTCGTTCCAGATTGCCGGGTTTGGCTTCCTGGTGATCTGGAGGCCATTCCATCTGTTTCCGTCCCGTGTTCGAACCTGGCTGGGCCTTGTTTAGGGCTCTTGGGCCACTCCTTGTCTTTCCCTCCAGAAGTGTTGCTGCGGCTGTGGTCTCGCCTTCGGCTGTTCATGAGGGGGTCCCAGGTTGCTCGAGCAGTTGTGCGGGAGTCTGAACTTCGACATGCTGGTCTGCCCGTGGGGTCAGGTTTGGCTTCGGCATCTGTTTAGTTCCTTCGGAGACTCCCCTTCCGCCTCTCTTGCAATCGTTGGGTTCGTTCCTCCGGGGATCTTGTGTTGGTGCTGCGTCACCAGCTTCCTCTTTGGGGTTTTCGGGGTTCCGTGCCTTGGCACCTCCCCGAGCCTTTGCTCGATGTGTTCACGGAAGGGTCATCTCTCGGCTGGGGCTTTGTGACCAGTGCTCACCACGTCGACCGGGGATGGTGGGGTCTGTCTGTCTGTCGGGCTCACAGCACGGTTCGGGAGTTCGTGGCTGTCTGGTTTGCGTTTCGGAGGGTTTGGTTAACTCGGTGCTCTACCATTCAGCTCCATTCGGCCTGTTCCCTGGCGATTCTTGCCGGAACCACAGGGTTTCTTTTAGGTGTTGACCTTTGGGGTGGGTTCCTTAGAGTGGCTCGTTTGCTGGACTCGGGGTTTGGCTCGCCGTGAGGTTCATGTCTGGGGTGTGTCCTGCATCCTGGCGGACAGCTGTCTCGGTTCATTCCTCTGTTCGCGGATTGGCCAGTCATTGCTGACTCGTTTCGTTGGCTCTGCCAGACGTATGGACTCCTGGCCATGGACGTCTTCGAGTTGGAGTGGTCTAGGCGTCTCCCATTTTATGTGGCGC